CACACACACACACACACACACACACACACACACACACACACACACACACACACACACACACACACACACACACACACACACACACACACACCAAAATGGATTTCCCCCAAAATGGATTTCCCCAGACACACACACATACATACACACACATATGTAGGCGCTGGTTCTGGTGATAATGACCCTTGAAATGAGAAATGAAAATGATTGAGTTTTTGTTCGTTATGGTGCATTTTCCGAATAAGGTAGTGCATTTTCAAAAATGGCACCGCATTTTTCAACTTTTTTCTTGATTTTGACTTATTCAAAGACCCCCCCCCCACCCACCCACCCCCCATATAGGTATGTCGGCTAAGATGACTATCAAGAAGTTCGGAACAAAGGAGAGGATAATAACCACAGAGAAGAAAATTATATAGGATGAAGCAGCTTTTTATTTCAAGATATATTCAGCAAAAGGGACAAATTTGAAACAGAGGGGCATCCTGAACTGGAAATCTGAACTAATCGGTGATGAAGATAATCTATTAATGAATAAAGTCCCTGGCAGTGCTAGGGGACTATTTGGTTATAATGGCCAATTTTTTAGAAGAACTTGGGAGATAATCCACGAGGATGTCTGGAAAGATAGTCAGGAATTTTTCATGGGCTTTCCAGTCCCAACTAGCTATGGAAGTAGCTTTATCACCCTCATACCTAATGGGGAAGATGCAAAGGGATTTGGTGACTGTGGGCCTATTTCACTTTCACCTTCATGAGCAAAATCAAAATAGAATTCTAGCCTCTAGATTCGGCAGTACTCTAGATAAAGTTATATCCCCAGAGCAAGGAGGCTTCGAACATGGTAAAAGCATTGATGATCAAATCCTATTGAGAGAATTTTGAACCATATGCTGGACAAAAGAGCTAGGGGGTAATGTTCTCATCAAATTAAGCATGGAAAAAGTTTCAGAAACTATTCTGCAGTCACAGGTTGGTAGGAAGAAAAACTAATTGATAATTTAAGTGTAACTTGATGGAGAGGAGTTTTGGAGGAAGAGATTCCATGGGTTTCGTGGTATAGCTTTCAGCAACAATACCTGGAATCTCCAATGCCTGACCCTTGGCGACAAGGACCATTTTGAGAAGTGTTATTGTTATGCAATTAAAATAAATATCTAAATCCACAAATCCCTAAAAAAACAGATTGATTGTTGGTCCAAATTCCACACATTCTCCCATTACAGAAGTCATTCGTAATTTCTTACATCTATGAATCGGTCCCTCTCTGTGGACTATGGAGCTTGCATAGGGAAAGCTAAAAACTTAACTACAACTGCAAACAAACAAAAATCTCAGAATTGGCATAAGTTCAATCTGACTAAATGCTTTTTCCAATTTGAAAACTTTACTCCCTAGACAGTGTCAGCTGCTCCTACATTTTTACTGCAAATTTTGGTAATAAATCCATAACAGGAATCTCTTATAGAAGCTTTTTTGTATAGATCCTTCACAATCCTATCTTGTTCTAAATCATTATTTCTTTTTGTGAACAACAAATACTACTATAAAATCTATAATGGTATAGCAAATTATTACTCTCTAAAGGATTTGGGCACCGAAGTGCTGCCACAAGTCATCCATATGCATATGCATGCACAAATAATTGCAAGTATTGTAAAAGCACTCACTTCCCCACTAAATGTAATTGGTTGTTCATGCTTGAGAAGTTGTTCATACTCATCACTGGTGTCAAGAACACGTGCACCAAGATTCTGTCTATGGTATTCGCGTATCTATACATCCAAAAACAAATACATATGTTAGACCATTAGACGAGCAAGTT